ACCACTGAAGAAACTTGCACCAAAACTTTAACTGAGAAATTGCGCAAGAAAGGTTAAGTCCCAAACGAGTCAAAAATTTACAAAAATAGAAATTATTTTCCCAAATTAAATCCGCGTATTCTTTTTCTTTCAGCATCTACCTCTCCCCAAATCACCTACAACAGTTTTAATGATGGCCTCCAAATATCTGCCAAGCAGGGAAACCACATACTTTGCCCGACTGTCTAAACTTGTCGTTGATGTCTTTTGTGATATTCTTAGAGAAGTGCTTAAAGCCAAAGTGCCTCCACCAGGACTTACTGCCATTCTACAAAGTCAAAGAGTTCAGCTTTCAAACAACCTTGAAAATCGTCAGCGACATGTACTTTATCCTGCAGGTGGAGTGTTTGTAGGTACTCTGAAGGATTTAGACTTCACACTTTTGTATAGACTGGTAAGACACATCCAGGGGATCAATATTCCACCACACCAGAATGGTTGGGGGAAGACACCAGACACAGCAGACAGGTCACTTTCGGCAAATATTGACCGGTTGCGAATCCAGCGAAATGAAGCTTATGGGCACCTGCCGACTGCATCACTTTCGGATTCAGATTTCCATAGTAGGTGGAGTCTCATTCGTCAGAGCGTGTTGGAAATAGAAAGGGATGCGTTGACAGGAGACACATACGTAACAGCTGTGTATGGTCTACTGACCGTGAGCATGGACCCTGAGGCACAGAAAAAATATATAGAGAAACTAGAGAAACAACACAAGGTGGACTTGGAGGTCAGAGGTCAGTGCTTTACAAAATGTTTAACAATAATTGACCTTGTATGTGAATATTTGAGTAAATCTTGAAACTAATTTTTACCAATAATAAATTGTTAAATAAAAGCATACATATGAGGAACAGAGACAGACCTATTTCCTGAAGTTTCACCAGACAGACACTTTCAAGATTTCTAAAATGGGATTTGAAAAACTAATGTAATGTAATATTAATGTATTTTGGGCCACCATCACATTTTGGCTGAAATGAATGACCTTGACCCGATTTTAACATATAATGTTTGTAAACAATCTTAAAAGGAATTTCATCTAAATAGCCAAAAGGTTCAAGGTGATGATATTTTTGGTCTGTAGCATGCTGGAATGGAAGGCTACTGAACTGCTCAAATAAACAACATTAACCATGTATCAAGTTCACAAAGGTCAAATAAGTTGAAATCGTTAAACAACTTCGTCTCATTAATCAAAAGGCCCGGGTTGGTGATATTTGGTGATATGCATATGCTGGTCGTAAGGCAATATCATGTTTGTTCAAATGAATCACCTAGAACCACTTTCAAAGTCACGGCGGCCAAAGTGTCAAACTTATTAAACAACTTTTTCCCAATTACCAAAAGGCCCAAGATGTTGAAATTTTCCACCGAAAACATGCTGGAATTAAGGACTGCCTTTTCTGCTAAAATGAATGACGTTGATTTTCTTTCAATGTCACAGAGATGAGTTTGAATTATTAAGTGACGTCTTCTAAATTACCAAAAGCTGGTGATGATATTTGGCCAGTATCTTGCTTGAATATATCAATTTTGTTCAAACGAATGGCTTTTATCAATATTCAGAGTTGCAGGGGTCAGATTTTTTAAGAAATTAACATAACGTCGTGTTAATAACCAAGAGGCCAAAAGTGATGATGTTTGGCCAGTAGTGTACTGGATTGAACTTTATGAAGGGCTACCAAGTTTGTTTGAACAAATGACCTAGATAGACTTTTAAGGTCAATGGGGTCAAACGTGTTTTAAACAACTTCTTAATTACCAACAGTTACAGGATGACCAGTAACATACTTGGAAGAAGGGCTACCAAGTTTTACATCTGAATGACCTTGACACACTATCAAGGGTGCTGGGGGTCAAAAGGTCAAATATGTATAAACCTTTCAAACACCTCATCTGATCAAACAAAAGACCCAGGGTGATGCTATTTGGACAGTAGTATGCTGGTATGAAAGGCTATAAAGTTTGTTTAAGCGAATGAAACCTTGTTAGACATTCAAGGTCAGAGGTGTCAAATGTTTAAATATTTAAACAGGTTCTTTTTGAATGATCATGGTCAAAGGATATGATATTGAGCCTTAGCCTTATTAATATATGTCCATATAAATATATTTGACCTTTGTCCACTTTTAACGTTACAAGTGTGAAATTAATACAAGGCTAGAAATTGATTTTGAAAACCACTAGTCAATTGGACAATTGTGACTAGTCAACCAGGCTAGTAGTTTCTAGAACTATTAGTTTATCAAAAGATTTGACTAGTCTCAGACTATCAGGCCTATTTGGCTGTTTCTTTGTCACATCACATCAAAGATGACTGGAAATCCCGTTATATAATTATCCACTTGTAAGTAAGTGGGTTTTACTGTTGCTGATTACATATATAAAATCTATCTTCTGACAAACATTTCTCATTTCTGATATCTTGTGACATAT